CGAGAGATATTCAAATTGATCAAATTGACGAATGACAGATTGCTTGAACCAAACCATAATCATGTCATTACTACACTACAGTACAGTCCAGTCTAGGCTCTAGTCTAGAGACTAGTAGTAGTACTAGTAGTAGTAGTAGTAGTAGTAGTAGTAGTAGTACAGCCTGGCTTACAGGCTACAGCCTACACGGCTACAGCCTACAGGCTACATTACTCATTTACTGATTTAGTCATTAGACATTACCTACTGTACTGAGTAGTAAGGTTTATTCGTGTTCCGTGCAATGAACAGATATGCCGTACTCCCAGTCACACAGTGATAAATTTTTGCTACACTATAGGCAAAGCTATGGCGAACAATAATATTTTACCTCATTTTAATGTAGTGCATCACCAGTTTTACAATAACTAAACACAAAACAACAACAATGTTTAGTCGCTATAACAACAACAGAAGGACGCTTTTAAATAGGTAGCGCCACGGTGCCACGCGAACCGGATAAGTATATTTTGTGATGTCAAGTGTTTTTTAGCGCCAATGTTGATAATGTTGGCGAATATCCTTTCACTTGTAGTTGTTACTCTATCGTACTTTTGACGCATAACTAAGCGCAGTTTGAAATGACATATCCGAATATGAGAAAGACAATACGAAGAATTGTCTCTTAAAATCGTCTGTCCCGTGCTTGACGAAGAATGAACCATGTGCTGGCTCGTATTGACGAAGCAGGCCGCGGACCAGTTCTCGGTAAAATGATAAAATCGGTCGTGAACTTCGCAGTCACATTTATTTAATAATATTTATTAATTAATTAATATGATCATGTCTTATTTTAAATAGCAGCAGCGATGGTATTGACTATAAGTAGGCCACATGCATGCAGTTAACTTAGCCTTCAATCTTGGAACGTCTCAATAAATAAATAAAAAAGGTCAATATTAATAAACACAAAAATGTACCCTATTTACTACCAAAGTCTGTTTCTCTACTCTATTTCGCATATTATTGCGATAATCACCTGTAAATGCCGGTCAAGTGCTCATCTGCAACACACAAGTACACCGTACGCTCGCCCTGTCCACAAACAACATGAATAAGAGAGCAGGTAGGAAAGCGTGATCACAAAATTCACTTGACGCTCGCTCAGGGATCAAATTTTACGACTGCCAACTGCGGCATTTGCTGCCGGAACATATTGATTGGCGTCAATGGGTAGTCTGTATCGGCGGCAAGTAAATGTCGTCGTAGCACATCCAAATATACACGCAAGTACAAACAGTCACACTGCACCTATCCCTAACCCTAACACTAACACTAACTCTGAACCGACTCGGCTATCTTATATATATACACGTGTCATAGCACCAAAATTAATCTATGGTGTATAACCTTTCATGTGATGCCGCAAACAATGCTCGGACGAATAGCGCCACTGAACTAGTAATCCGATGCTCGGACGAATAGCGCCACCGAACTAGTATCCGATGCTCGGACGAATATCCACGTCCTTAAAGGACATATATATCGTGGATATTCGTCCGAGCATCAGATACTTGTATACACAAAATATACACACAAGTACAAACAGTCACCCTATCCCACGGAATAGTAATAATCACCACGGTTCAGTATGATTTTACTACTAATATTTTGTGTATATTCTTCATATGTTTTCAATGTTTGTCGATTACTAAGTCGCTGTGCGATTTAAATAAGAAACCTGTGTATGCTGCTGAATCAGTCCCCACTACTGTGCAATTTAAATCAATATTTCTATGACAGAGTCTTCAATTGTTAGATTAAATAATCTAACAATGTGTCTCACTGCTGCTCTGTGTCTGGACTTTTGTATTTTATACATGGAAATATTTTTTAAATTGACAAAAAACTTTAATATTAATTGCACCATCTTGGTTTTATTCATATTTGATACCATAAAGAAATAATTGTATATATGTTAATCAATATCATTATCTTTTAGCCGTATAACTTATGATTTTGACAGAAAATCGACGCGCGTTCGGTTTTCTAGACTTGCTGTCAGAGTGTTGCTACTTGCTGTCAGCAGGCAAATTGCCAAATTCGATGCCTGCTCGGCTTCATTTCACACGATTACAGAACGAAAAGACAAGAAAACAGCCTCCATCTTAGTATCTATATGGTAGCTAAATGTTTACTTGTTCAAATTATAACTCTGTCCTTTGTTCTTACCTACTCCCGCCAGAGATAGCTCGTGAAATCCTGCAGGAAATGTTCTCTCCGTGAAAATGTAAAGAGGACGAGATGTCTGTTTATACACGAGTAATGGGGCGCATTGCATGCCGGGATGAGCTGCTGCCTGCCTCCGAGCCTCCGTTTCGAGGCCCGCCAAGCCAAGCATAATGCGCGCGCGGCATGACGTCACACACACGACTGCAGTGATCGCGTCGAAAGTAGCGCGTTAGGGATTTTCGAATGATACGTCCTTTTTACATTTTTAAGGAGAGAAACATTTCCTGCAGGATTTCTTGAGATATCTCTGGGGGAGTAGGGTAAGAACAAAAGGACAGAGTTATAATTCAACAAGTGAACATTTAGCTGCAGATAGATACCAAGATGGAGGCTGGTTTGTTGTGTTTCTGTTCTGTAGTCGTGTGAAATGAAGCGAGCGTCGAGCAAATTTTGCGATCACGCTTTCCTACCTGCTCTTTATTCATGTTGTTTGTGCACAGGGCGGGCGTGCGGTGTACTTGTGTGTTGCAGATGAGCATTTGACCGGCATTTACAGGTGATTATCGGCAATAATATGTGAAATAGAGTAGAGAAACATTAAGACTGGTAGTAAATACATTTTGTGTTTATTGACCTTTTTTTTTTTGAGACGTTCCAAGTGCCTGTGTACCCTGGTACTATCTAATATGCCGGAGTGTACCTCGCCTACTCCATTAACGAGTCTAGGGAGTCACCTACGCCTACTTCCTAACCCCAACCCTAACCATATATCAGATAGTTACCAGGGTACGTTCCGGTATACCCTAACCCTGGGGACATAGACCCTATGAGCGTTAGTCGTAGGCCTAGGCTATAGCCTATAGTCCTGCACACTGAGCCCACTGGCACTGCCACTGGGTAGAACTAGAAACTTTCTTGATAGTTAGGTGCTATGTGTGCATACAAACATGTCACACACACACAAACGCACGCATGCATGTTCACACACATACACACGCACACACAAATACGTGTGTGCTTGGCATACCTCAGCTATAAATAAATAAATAATATCCTACAATAACCTAGCTTAAACTTACTATTGCGAGATTTTTGCTCAGAAAAACTAAATATAGATGAATATAGTCTCACCTGACAGCGGAAATATCACTGATTACACCAACATTAAAAACACCAAGATTTTATGCAGTTATAGCATAGAAAAATGGATTTTACCACATCATACCAGCAATACATTTTATCGTATGCCGACTCTCAAAATCACAAATGCGCCTTCAAACCAAGTGCATAATTAAAACAAAAGGGCGCGTGTGGTAAATATTATTGAGTTTTTAGCTCACCTTGACATCGTAAAGCTGAGCTATTGCCATGGTTTGTCGTCCGTCGTACGTCCGTCCGCATCGTCAACATTTGGCTACGGTCAACGATAACTCAGGACCGTTTAACCACATGTTTGAAATTGGGTATAGCTGTTACCGCTATGCTCCCATATTGAACGTCCTATTTTGGAGCACGCCATTCGACATACTTTCGAGCCACGGCAATTTTTTGACAAAAATGGGAATTGCCATTAGTCAGTTCAGGTTCAACGGATTTTGCTCGTTTTTGGTATGTTAATGAATAAGGGCGCGGGGTTTTGATATTTAAAAAAAATTATGCAAATTAGGTAGGTTTTGGCAATTATATAGCATATTATATAGACACGCAGATAACAAACAGTCTGTGGTGTCACACTCGTCTGGTTCGTTTTATAAGATTTCATTGACAATATCTTTAATGCAAAATCCTCTATGAACATATTATGATTATAAACTATTATTATTATATTATTATTATTATTGATATTAATATTTATCGATACCCCAAAATTGAGCTAGATTAGCTGGAAAGGAAACCTTCTAGCACCCATTGAAAAATGATCGGCATGGTCCCAGGTATCAAGAATGGACACTGCCAGAATTTTTTAGTGGTGGTGCGC